ACTGTGAGAGCAAAGTGTCTTGCCCGAGAACACAACACAATGTCCCCGGCCAGGGCTCGAGCCCAGACCGCTCGATCCGAAGTCGACCACACTAACCATAAGGCCATCGCGCCTCCACATCATTGAAGCTGTTTTTGCGAGTTGCTGCGCAGTGTTAATTCTCCATTGCCATTGCAAAGCGGAAATATTTCATTCTGATTACCAAAATCTACAGTAACCCTCCAATCCTCCAATGTATGTTCCCGATTGGTTACCGCACGGTTTTAAATTTTCGCGCACAACTAACAACCAATCAGGACTATTTGGCAAATCGGACAATTACGTGTTCTAGCGGCAAACACTTAACTGGTTATTTAGGTCCCCTGAGAGATTGCCAAAACCTTCTACACACCCGTTGCATTCAAATCTCGCTGTTCTCGAGAGTCTACTCTACACGTAGGCTGCAGCAATGTTCCTTTCCCCTAATCGCCTCTCCCTTCAGCGATGCTGACAAATCTCATCTCTCCAGCTCATTTTATGCCTTTTGGAATTTTTTTTCACCGGCCATAACTTATCCTCCATTACGCATGGAGGGCCCTTTTATTCGACTGCGAATCATTACTATTCGTTGTGTGAAATCTGTGGAAGCGTAAATGAGATTTACATGTATCGGAAACGTTGAAGAGATAAGTGATTGTGTAGTTTACTCCTGAATGTTTTTCGCTGAAGATGACAGAGAGAGGAGAAGAGAGGAGAGGAGAGCCTTCCCGCTCTTCCTGTAAACTTTCGCCCAAAAAATATCGCATCATTCCGATTAGCTGCTCCTGGGTCTGCGAGGATGGATAACAACTTACTTGTGTGGTTATCACAGCGTTCAATGAAGTAAAGATACCTCACAGCTCTGTTTCTTGCCTAATGTTAACACAAACAAAATAAAGAAAAGATTCGAGTTAATATCTAGGCAATAACCTTCCTTTGACATCGAAAAAGGCAATGATTATCCGCAGACATTACGTGTACATGAATACCAGACACAAGATCTTTGCATTCAGGCCTGTATAATATAAACGCAGAAGTAAAATGACTTGTGACATTCATACCTCTCGTATAGCACTTATCGGTGTTTGCCCTCTACCGACACCAAAACCTGCAAAGAACACGAAAGTGGCACGGACTTTTAGTATTCTACATGCAAACTGGTGGTAAATTGCAATCATGATGCCTGAACTACATGAAAGAAATACGAAACACACAAAGAATGCAGACGTTTGCAACTGAAAGAATGTGTCGCATTATACATGTAGTTTTCAAAGTTTGAGTTCTTGACAACAGAAAAGCAGTAACGTAACTTTCTTCTTTTAAACACAGGGGCCCCACACGAGACGGAGTGTCACGTGACCCTTAAGTGCTACTTCCGGTAAGCCTAACTTGTTACCTGCAACCCCATTGTAGTTGCCGGCGACAACCATGGCACGCTGAGTTTTCTTTCTTCCTCCAGCAGTCATATTACTGACTCGCCTCATCTGTAAAAAAAACACACACACACACGCAGCAATTAAAAACATCAGTTTAAAAAAACTACAACATATAACTACTGTGCAATTACAACAGTGTGGTTTTCAATTGAATGTCATAAAATCAAACCCAAACTACAGTGGAACCTCTACTAATGGCCACCTCTCTACAGTCAAGCCACTTTCCTCTCTCCCCAAGGTGGCCATTGAGGGGAGCTTCGACTGTAATTACTTACCAATCAAACTACTCACAGACAGCCAATTTCAAATCATAGTAAAACCAAAACCAAAACCAAAACCAAAATCCAAAGTACTTTCCTGATTTCTTTCAACACTCAATTGAAAAGTGCTGTAATGGCTGGGGTTGAATTGTTTTGGACTTTGTTTCAGTTCTTAAGGAGAGGAGGGTGAGGAGAAGACAGCGGATGATCAGGTAACTTCTTATAAGGAAAATTTTGACTGAAATGAGGAAACAATAATTATCTGTATCTGAAAACCTATGGCATAAGGAATGCTTTATTGTAATGACTTGTCATCTAAACTTTCTTTTAAACATCCTAACATTAGGAGAAGGGAGGGTACTGTCATTACAAAAATAGGAAAGTACATGTAAGAAACATGATTGTAATTTTTGTTACTGATACTGAAATGAATGGGTATTTAAAAATAGTTGAAAACATGGGTGACGGTAGAGACTAGGTAATCATAGCAAGTCTCACAGAATGTGTAGCTGTACAATGTTCTATGGTGCATTTCAGTTAACAAATTAAAAAAAGAAATGTTTTCTATAGTTCCTTTGGAAATTACCTAAACCCTTTTTTCATGTAAATTATCATATATCTACAGGTGAATGTTCCTGACTATAGCAAAAAGGTATGATTGGGTATATTTACCGTAACAAAATTTGGCCATGAATTTGGCAATATTAAGTTAGTAAAGGAAAACACGTCTGAAGACAAGCCTTCTGATTGGTTAATAGCATTTAGAAAAACACCACTTTTACTTTGCCTCTCCTTTCCCTTCTAATCTAAGCACCCTTCTGGATCTCCCACTGGCAGATTTTATCCCCCTGTACAGTACATCCCCTAGGATTACCATGCATACATGTTCAACTTAAAAAAAAAATGTTTCTCTTCATAATAACAATGCAAGTTACAGCACATCAAAAGCAAGATGTTCAATTCTTACCTCAACTACAATGGACATGAAGTTTGTTAGCTCCTCTGGAAAAATAAAATTAATTGAACAAAGCTTTTAACATTGTTTTCAAATTGAAATTTTACTGTATCAAAACAATTCCAATGGCTTTGTGATGCCTATTCAAGCAGGAATTTCATAATTTGGACTACAGGTAGGTTTAGGCAAACAGCAGGGTCCAAAAAGTAGCCAGTTGCCTGCAAACCTCTACTGCAAAACCCTGCAATCTGCTTCATAATATCAGCCAGCTGCACTGCTAGGTTATTCATCTGATAAAGTCACCTGGCTTCTGTACTTTAAAACTTTGTAACAACCCTGAATGTACAAAATTCCTTNAATGGTGTACTAAAGAAATGCTGTTGCTCACCTTTGTCCTTTCCTTTATTTGAAGCAGCATAATTCCGATTTTGAACAATCTGAGCTGAAATTAATCCTTTCATAATCCATGAGTCTGTTAGAAACCAAAAATATAAAGCTATTCTTGAGCTCATACACCTTGAGATAGTAAGCAATGTATTTACTGTGGTTGTTTATTTATTATTGTACATTGAATTCACTATCTCTTTTCTGATTGGCTGAAAGCATACATGTACAGTGAATTTTCGAAATCAGTACCTGTGACGTCATCTAGCTGCAGATTATACAATAATCATGTTGAGGACACTCAAGGTCATGGGAAATCATGTCATGTATGACCACAGTGCAATTGATTTCTAAGGGTATTCATGTCAAGTTTGTGCACTTTGTGTTGCTTGCCATCAGTGAAGAAGCGAAAACATGACTTCCATTTTTTTTTTTTCATACAATGTATAACACAATTATTAGATTCAGTTTTTGTGATATCCAGAATAATCAAAGTCTGGGTAAGGGTTATCAACCTCAGCCTTTGGCTTCAGCTGATAACCCCTACCTCGACCTTGACTATTCTGGATATCACAAAAACCTCATCCAATAATTGTTTAGAATCATGCTTATATGTACACAAGTTTTTTTACTCATGAAAAATTAACTAAATAAAAAGACAAAATAAATTAATAAGGTAAAGAAATAAATCAGTAAAGTACGAGAGACATGCTGAAAAAAAAAGAGAGAAAATTAAAAAAGACAAACTGGTGGTCACTTAATTACAAGTTGAACTTGACACACAAGAATACACATTAATTATTTCTTATTTACTACTCGGATTGCCCAAGTATCTGTTACAAACAGCTACATTTTGCTCATGTTTATAGTGTTCTAGTTTCTGTAATTGGTAAGTACACCTCAGTATTTTACTGGGTGAGATAAATAGCTCCATGCCCAGCCCCCAACCTGGAGGGCAAGAGTTTTTCTATTAGTGTTGTCCTTCCATTAGTCCCAGGTTACAGCTGAGTCAGACCTAGGGCCATATGATATTGAGGACATGAAAAGCTCTGATACTTCTGTGATGCCCATCAACAACATCGCAAAAACCTGTGAGCCATAAACCCGTCTAGATTGAAAATTTGTGCTCAAATTGCATCAAAGAGCTGACGGAGTGAAGTTTATATCTACATTCATAGCTATATTTGGATCATGTGTAAAGGCATCCGTGGTCAAGTGTCAATCAATCAACCCTTGATCAAAACTAAATTGATACTCACTCAACACTCGGTTGACACTCATTCGACACTTGATCGACATGTCAGTCAACAGTCACTCAAGAGTATGCATGATCTCTTTATTTTAGCATTTTTTAAGCCCAAAGTCTATAAAGCATTGTTATAAATGGCACTACGGTTAGTTACATATTAATAGCGTTCCAGTAGCCTACATTCATGTAGTGCTCAGGTTAGCCTAGATATCGTGTCTCCACAGCAGTTAATAGCTCTCAATAATTTTAAGGGTCAACTTCTCGGAGAAATTAGCTATATAGCTACTCTTGTAAATCCGAGGTGAAATAAAGGTGATATATGTATGTATGTATGTATGTATGTCAGGGTTACCACTTACAGACACCCATCCCACACTAATTGTAGTCCTCTCATCCGTAGTGCCATAATGGCACATCGCTATATCGTGTTTCAATCACGCCCTAGATTTATTACAGAATCATTTCTTTCGATAAATCTTACCTTTTTTCAAACGTGCAACATTCCCCAAATAACCATTTTTCCCCATAAATAGAGTTTTCGCTAAGCACACATATCTGCGCAGAACGGCCGCCATTTTGATTATGAGGGGCGGTCACCCAGCTACAGAGACTGGCTGCTAAGCCTCCAAAGATGGCGGCACAGTTTCTAAAATTTGGCGTGCCCATGATCGTAAGCTGGTGATTTGTTCATAATAATATTTTGGTACTAAAGTGGTTTTAGCTGGCTAAAATCCAGAATACTTTCCCACTAAGGTTCAGTAAAATGAAGATTTGTTGACTTCGAACTGGAGATCGCATAATAGCAGCTTTCGTGAATTTCCACAATGTTCGCACAACATTGCACGCGATGTTTTGTTATGTTTTATGTTTTGTTCTGCAGCGGAAACTATACAGGTGTAACGTTTTCAGTGCAGTGCAGTGTTCAGGGAAGGTATTGCGAAAAAATCTAAGCGGGGGGTGGGGGGGGGGGCGGGGAGGGGGAGCGAAATCCGTGAAATACGACTAATTCTGCAAAATGTTATGTTTTTGCTTGTTTTTTGTTTTGTTTCGGTTCATGGACCACCGAAAGTAGCTTCTGTTGTTAACTCTTCAGTCTCAAGCAGCTTCCTTGAACTTTGCCATGGAGATTTTCTTTCTTGCTTTGTTGATTGATTGATTGATTGACTGATTTACCTTTTTATTTTACGCTATTATTTTATAATATTTTTCATGAGATCAATTTATTGACCTTTCTGCATAATTAACTGTCATTGTGTTGTCTGCATTCTTTTTAGACATTAATCGTTGGTGGTTCGTTTGCATTGAAAGAATTCACTGAAATTAAGATCAAGCGTCGAGATGAGAAGACTTTCATGGTAGGTCTCATCAAGGACATGATTGAGTTATTTATTAATTTTAATAAGTGTGGTAACCTGATAGACAATGAAAAGAAATATTCTTATTGGTTGGACCTGAGTTGTCCAATTTTTTTTATATATTAACTGCCAAGATCAACCAACATATCTCTGATATGGACCTTGAGCTTGGCTCAATAAAATATATGATTCTGATCAAATTATAAAGTCAGGTGAGGTGGATAGTTACCAGTAACTGTAAAATAAACAAGCTCACCAGAAAAATCTCTTAGCTTTGAGCTATCTGACAGTGCTCTCTTTGCACACTGCTAAACTTGTCCCTTTCTTGGCCTTTGCAATTTTCTTTCTCTCTGTTATAATAAACTAAGTTTGTGATTTATCATTTCTTTCAGTTGAACAAAGAAGAAGCACTTAAGGCATTACCTCACAAGGCAAAAGAAGTCTCACTGGAGGAGGCATACAAGGTAGTCAAGTGATACAACTATTAGGATTCACTTCATTCATGCAAAGAGTTTTCTGATCTTTTTTTTTTTCTTTTTTTTTCTTTTTTTTTTTTTTTTTGTACATTTTACTTATCCAGCAAGGGTTGCTATTAAATGTAGATGACGTTCACACTAACTGTTTCTGCGCATCCTTACTGTGCACACAGTGGTAACTCTAAAAAAGTATTGATCCAAGATGTGGGTGCCTGTAATGGGAAGCTCAGTATAAAAAAGAATAACAATATTTGTTCTTAATAATATTCTTTTTTCAATTTCTTGATTGTCTGATTTAAATATTTGTTTATTTATTTATTTATTCATTTATTTATATATCTATCTATCTATCTATATATTTATTTATTTATTTATTTATTTATTCATTTGTTTATGTATTTATTTAAAAGGTTTGATTGTAATAGAGAATGTTGCAACTGTCAGGTTGCCGAGTTTTGTCTCATGTCTGGTTTTCTCTGATAATTCATTTCAGGATTTAACCAAAAATCTTGACATTGATAACTGGGAAAACAAACGAGGACCTCGCCCATGGGAGGAGCCACAGATTTCATCCAAACAGAAATAAATTAGCCTAACCAGCCAATGGACAGGAAATCAGCATGTGGCCTTCATACCACATACAAAATCAAATTGTGCTGCACTGCAATAAAGACAAAACTGTTGAAAACTTGCAGCAATATTGTAAGCCTGGCTCTGGTGGTTTAAATGTAAAGACAAGATGGACAGAGCAACAGCTACAACATAATGGATAGTGATAGTGGTGCAGAGCTTATCATCATGACATGTTGATTTGTGGACTTCTATAAGTACAGTGCTGTTTTATGATCACCTTTTAAAGTTAATATGGAATTGAAGCCACCATTTTTTTGTAATTTGACACTTGAGGAAGGCTTGAGAAAAACTCCAGCTCAAAAATTAAAAATTTATGAACATAATTTCAGAAGGCTATGTTGGTGCCAAGTTTTGTCGACGGACATATTCTTAGTGCTTGCTAGAAAAAATCCACACCCAAGGTATTGCAAAAAAAGATAGACGATTTTCAGTATCAAATATTTTGAAAAGTTTTACAGTGGAACCCAGCCTTACAGTTACCTTGTTAATACGGTCACCACGTTATATGCGGCCAGTCCTTTCTGTCCCAACCCGAACAGCCCAGGACCCCCCCCCCCCCCCNCCTCCTTATTTTGGGTAAAACAAAGAAGAAGTCACAGAGGGAAGAAAAGCCAGCAAGGCAAGCAAAACAACCTTCCCAACTCCCCCTTAGCTCAAGGTCTGGATCTGCCACTGGTATGTACTGATTGAAGTTGTTTTTATATCTGCATTTCGAATGCTTATTAAAGAACAGTTGTTTATAGAACTCCAGGAGAAGTCTGCCAAGATGACACTTAAAATAGGCCAGTCATGAAATTTTACCCTACCCTGTTAATACAGCCACCCTTAATACAGTAAAATTTCCATGACCCATTGATGACCATAGTATTATAGGAACTCAGTATCCAGTCAGGTATCATTACATCACTTAGTAAAATGATTTTCAGTCACTTCTGCAAATCGCAGACCAGAACGAAGTATAAGGCAAAAGCCCAGTCCACACTCATTTTAAGGAATTAATTTGGGAAAAATTTAGGTAACTAGTGGAGTTGGAGGGCTGAGCTACCCGGCCACTCCTTTCATCTGAGATGTACATATAACATACTGGTAATTGTTTTTGTCAAATAAAATGAGCCGGATGCCAGCTATTGGAAAAATAAAACTCATTATTATTATTAATCGTTTTTTAATATTGTTTTCGCACATTACAGAAAATATAGTACTACATTTAATTTTTAAAGGAAAGCTCTTTTCGGTCAAAATTACACATTCCCCTAATTCCTTTCGAGCCTATCATTTTCAAAATGGCCGCTCACGTAACTCAGCCCGACTCTGATGCTGCTTTTTACTCGCTGTAAGTTCTACAGAAAAAAAGACCGATAATGAAAAAAACTCATCATCAGCATATTCCAAAGACCCTAGAGAACGCTGGCGAGTTTCGAATGTTCATCTATGAGCTGACAGAGTCCAAAATTTTCAGTGTGAGCATTTTGTTTGTGATTCTTCTGAACACGGTGATTTTGGTGATTCAAACTGATGAAGGATTTTCCGTCAAAGCAGGTAATTGCGCCCTCGTTTATTTCAATATGTTTTTTTTTTTTGTCTTTTTTTGCCGTACTTGCATGAGGAAAAGCTGTAGTTACGTGTAAGACTAAGGAGCTGTAAAAGGGAATTTTTCAACTTCACCACCACTGTCCGCCATATTGCTTTAAGAGATTGTTGTAAGGAGTTTTCTATAGTTCCTCTCAATTGGCAAAACTCTTTTATTAGGTTGCTGGAGTTTCTTAAGAGAGTATAGTATAGTGTTAAAAGTCGCTAGGAAGTTAAATCTTGCTAAAAAAAAATTTACTAGATTGGATTCAATCTTCATGCTTTAAGCTTATTTTTCGCGTGACAAAATACGGTCTCTTGAGCGGCATGTGCTGAGATAATTTTACGGTTACACTGGACAGAAGCCTTGAACTTTTATTTCAGTATGAATTACTCGTTCTAAGAGGTTTTATTCTCGCGGATCAGACCCGAAAAGAAAACCAGGACGTGCGCCAGGTTATGTATTTTCACGTATTTTCATATCTAGGAGGGAAACGGAGATGGGGCCGGGCCGGGACACTGGGGAGGAAGGCTTGTTCGTTTCGGCAGGTTCGTGAAAAATCACGTTAGTTTCTGCATTGCAGGATGGTACCTATCAGCTCTTGACAGCGTCTTTCTTGCCATCTACTTCGTGGAAATAGTTCTGAAACTTTATGCTCTTCGCTCGTTCTTCTTCAAGACGGGATGGAACATCATGGGTGAGGAAGTTGTTCTATTAAACTACTCCGGTTATTGGAGGTCCTGTCATAGTCTTCTCTTTAAAAAAAAACATTTCGTTTGCTTATGTGTGCAGCGGAAGGAGGTTAGGTGTCTTACAACGAGTAACTCTGGGCTAAAGGACTGGGTTTCAGAGTATTGGCCAAGGGTTTTATGCTGTACGGCTGAGCATGGGCCTATGAACTTGCCAATGCCTATGCCCTCTTCCCTCAGAGGGCCTTTGCCCTCACCCTTCAGAGGGCCTATGCCCTCTTCATACACCTGTAGGTACCTGCAAATTGTTTTTTACCACCAGAAAAAAGCCTTTGACATATTATATACCAAAATGTTTCGATATGTGATACACAAAACATTTATGAAGCTTATATGCTTCTTTATATTTTAGTTAAAAGAAAAATGATTGCAAGACAAAGCAATGCTGAATCAACGATCTGTTAATTCGATTCAATGAAGGGTACCCGGGGCATATATTATATCAGAATTATCTTGTTATGGAGCAAAATTTATTTTTTGCTTAGCTTCTGTGCAATTGAAAATTATTTTTGTGTCCTTGTCCCGTATTAAATCATTAGGAAACTTTAGCAATTGCGACGCCTTGTAAAAATGGATATATATTTTACCTTATAACTGTGTAAACCTGTTCAGGGTGCCTATCAGTCTAAAAACTTTCTCAGGTTAAATATGCAATCACAGCATTAAATTCCAAAGTAAGATGCGAAAAATTAGCCATTGCGGTTCACGTTCAGTTCTTGGTCATTTTATGTCGTTGTTTTGCAGAAGGCAGCTAAGAAATTTACTAGGATTCAAAAGGCACTTGCACAGCCATTGACCTACTCATTTAACCTTTTGTCTGGTGACGTTCTCGTTGCCGTTGCGGTTTGCTAAAGCTCCTTATTATCGCTCATTCCCAGACTTGTTCATCGTTCTTTTCACCATGGTGGACTTTTTGCTACCGCTGATCGTGCAGAATGTTGGCTCCTTTGATGTGGCTGCCATCTTCAGGTTACTGCGCATGTTCAGAGCTATCAGGGCGCTAAGAGCATTGCGGGTATTGAGGACTATAAGGTAAGGGAGGGGTGGGTAGTGCTCTAATCAGGTGAGGGAGGGATGGGTGCCTTTGTCCCGGAGCTAAATCACTGCTTCCCAGTGGTTAGTACTTCAAGCTCGGTAGTAGAGAGGGAACGCTTTGGAAGATTACATACACGAGCTTGTCTAAAACCAAATCTAAATCTATATGAATAAGCCTTAGCTAAACCATGAGTTTCCTTGGGCATCACATTACTATGGTTCTATATGGTTTCATCTATAGTCTTGTTAGAAACATTTCTGGTCTGTACCGTCGCCGCTTTTTATCAGTCCTGTTGACTCCCCTTACGCCTTACTCACGTGAATCAGTTGAAATTCCATTGCACCCGCTCAATCGAAAAATCAAAGAAAACGCATAGTACATTACTTCGGAACAGGATTGCAAAAATTCAATTCATATTCAGATTTTTATTGTTTTGCACTATTTACAAAAATTATAACTTAAACAGTATTCACAGAAATTACATTAATTAAAAAGAGAAAAGAAATATAACAGTAAATAGCCAAAATGAAATGNTACAGGGACTGTTTCTTTGTATCTTTTGATGTTATAAATTAAAAAGCAAGAGTGCTTTACTGAACCGTTTCGTTTTGCGACAGCATGCTAATTCTGTACTACATTGCAACGAAGTTAGACATTCCTTAACTGTACGTTCTGCAGATATGTTTGCTGTGATAGGTCGCGGGTTGTTTTATGAAGTAGCTCCTACCAGGTTTGGTACCTTGGGAAAGGCATTCTTCACTCTCTTCCAGCTTATCACATTGGATGACTGGTTCTACATGTACAGTGATGTTGTGGCTAAAAGTCCAGGTTGGAACCCTGCTATACTTTATCGTGCAGACTGAATTTCGAAGCCAATGCCAATTTAAACGTTTCAAACTTTTCAAAGCGTTCTGGAAACGAACTTCTCAAACTCATTAATAATGATTGTTGTTGTTGTTTTAGTTGTAATATTTCATCAAGTTTAGGCAAAGGAAATCACGACCGTGAAGGTGTTTGGATATCTGATCTTAATTAAGGGAAACAGTGAATTTTGTTTCCCCGAGATCCTCAATGTTACCCGCGCAACCAGTTATTAAGTGTTTTAATTTGTTATACCTCCCATTTCAAAAGTAGAAAATAAAACTGCGAAAAATAGTTTGCTTGGCGCCAACTGGCAAACAAATTTGCCGCAGTTTCAAGGAGCACGACCTGATCACGTGCGAGTCGAAAGTCCAAGTTGTTGTTTCCCTAGGGTAAGTGAGTTTTGACCAACGGCACGTGACACGTTCTCCTCCAATCGGAAAACGTATTTGAATTGGGAGGCATAACAAAGTTTATTAATCGAAAATTAAAATCATCTATCAAATTCATTTGATGGCTACTTGGAGTTAACTGCCATAACATTTTTTGGAAAGCTGTCACCTGCAAAGTTAGCCCTATAAAAGTTCACCTACAACCATGATAACTACAACCGAAAAAACTATATCCCAATTTTATAACAGTTTTAATTGCGCTCTGAGTGCAGATATTATTTGTATATATATATATATATATACTTTCATTACGATAACTATGTTAGTTGCGAGGCTTAAGTCTAAACTGTAACGGATTTTTGTTTTCTTCTTCTTTACAATTTTTAGGCTACAGTTACATTATCTTGTATCTCATCGTCTATATTGTGTTGGAAAACTTTATCTTCATGAAGTAAGAAGTTAAAAGATATCTTGATTACTAGAAACTAATTTTGCCTTGGTTAAGGAAGCCATCATGATAGCCCTAACTTAAACGTGAAAACCAAATACTGTTACAAATAAACTCGGAAACTAATCGAAACGCACGATCTAAAATTCTTCCGCAAAGTCCTATATGAGGGTCCAACATAGATTTGGTGGGATTCGGGATGACGAAATTTTAAAAGAGGGATGCGTGATGAAAATTCTTCCACGGGAGCGGGATTTGCTCATTTTGGCGGGTGGGATGCGGGATAGTTGGAAAATTGATGGCGGCATCATTCGTAATCATTATTAACAAGAGAGGATGAACGGAAGAGTTAATTATATATTAATCTCCCATAGAGCCACTTTGAAATTATTTCAAGATATTTTATTCAGTTTCCCGCAGATAACGTTACTACGCGCATTGCGAAGATCGTTTCATGGAGGGTAAAAAAGCGCTGGTGTCAAGCCGCTTAGATTGTCCACGTCATAGGGTTTTACACATTATGGACAAATGTTTCACTCAGTGATTATGCTAAAGCTTGATGCTCAAAAAACCTCACTTAAGGTATCACTATTATGCTCCATTACGCATACATAAAATACCCAATGTCAGCCACACCTTTGTCCTTGGCCACATGCGAGAGCTTGGCTATTATATTTTATTCGGAGCCTGTCAAAACGAAGGAAATCACTGTGAAACTACGAAAGATAATTAAACATACTTTCAGGAGCACAAGTTACAGTAAAGCAATAAGATTTCGCTTCACTATGCAATGTCAATAATTTCAATGGCATCGAAAATGGCGGAAGCTGACTTTGAGCGACGCCGCAATGTGATCTTCTATTGCTCTAGGTTGGTTATTGTGAAATGAGTTTTCTAGTTAGGAAAAAACCTCACTCTAGTGCTACAGAAGAATGTTGACTCAGCACAACCTTTTGGCACGCGCTGTATCTATTGCGTAGTCAAGGGACTATAAGTGCCCAGATTTCGCTTGGCGCGCCAA